AGACAGCAGGTGAGACAGCAGGGTTTGCAACAGAGAAAGAGTTTCATGATCATAGGGTACCCAAATGAGGTGACAGAGGTGATCCTCACACCCACCTCCATGAGGATTTCTAGGCTGGAGCTTTTAAGGGGATCATGGAAGCTGAGAGGCTGGAGAATTGAGGTCATTGATTGATCAGGGTAAAGGGGATGAAATCATCAGGATGTAGAAACTTCATTTTCTGGTGAGTCAGCTTCTTGTGGGGTTCTTCAGACCAGCTGATGTCAGCAGTTTCATTGGTATTCAGGACCTGAAAGAATATCTCAAAGGAGAAACTTAATGTTTTATAATGTTCAAGTTGTTATCTATAGAGCAGTTAAGGGGGACTATAATATTGTAACAGGGTCTGTTGTCCTAGTCATTTTCAGATGACTAGATGACATTAATCCTGAATGTGCTGCGTGCTTGGTTTATTTTCATTTTCCCCATCCCTTCTTTTCTGATAATTTTTTTCTTTTGAGACAGAGTCCCAGTCTGTTGCCCAGGCTATAGTGCAGTGGCACGATCTTGGCTCACTGCAACCTCCACATCCCAGATTCAAGCTATCCTACCACCTCAGCCTCCCAAATAGCTGAGATTACAGGCATATGCCACCATGCCCAGATAATTTTTGTATTTTTAGTAGAGATAGGGTTTCACCATGTTGGCCAGACAGGTCTTGAACTCCTGACCTCAGGTGATCCACCCATCTTGGGCTCCTGAAGTGCTGGGTTTACAGGCTTGAGCCACAGCGCCTGGCCTCCTGATTAATTTTATAAAATGTATAGAGGCAATTTCAAGTCTACTAGGTTAATACTTGCTCCTGAGCAGGACTCTGAGACCAGGGATGGTTCCCATAGTTTATTCTGTCATCTCACTAAAAGTGCGGGATTGAGACAGAATTCTGTAATGTTCCTGACTTTAGTTCTTACTGTTTTGTAACTTTCTTTTTGCCAATTTATGCTCCATACGCCTGGATGACATGTGTGTTTTATTGTTAAGGCGCAGGCATGCATTCCTCCCTCGCCAGTTTTCCAGATCACGGGCAGTGTTTGCTTCCCCCCACCCCCAACCTCCTCAAATGCTGTTTATCAAAATCTTAAGAAACAGCAAGTTTCCAAATGGCACTTGGCCAATTTTGTTTTGAACTCAAAACATTTATTTTTGCTGAAATGAGGTTTCTGCATTTATTTTTGCGGAAGGTAAACATTTATTTTTGCAGAAATGAGTTTCTGTTTTCTTCTCTGAGTTTGTTGGTGAGGAAATAAAAAAAAGTAAGATGTTTTTCTTGGTGTTCTTATAATATCTTAGAATGGTTTCATCTGTTAAGGATAATAAAGGATCTTAGGTGAGGGGTGACTTTCTTTCTTTCTTTTTTTTCTTTTTTTCTTTTGTTTTGTGAGAATCTTGCTCTGTCAGCCAGACTGGAGTTCAGTGGCACGATCTCAGCTCACTGCAACCTACACCTCCCAGGTTCAAACAATTCTTCCACTCCAGCCTCTTGAGTAACTGGAATTACAGGGATGTGCCACCATGCCTGGTTAATTTTTGTATTTTTAATAGAGACAGGGTCACACTATTTGACTAAGCTGGTCTGAAACTCCTGAGCTCAAGTGGCCTGCTTGCCTAGGCTTCCCAAAGTGCTGGGATTACAGGCATGGGCCACTGTGGCTGGCCAGCATTAGACTGGGGATTTGTGTGCTTCCATGGTAGACCTGGGGGCCTGGTTTTACTTGGCTAATTTATACACTCATTCACTTTAGGGTGAATTTGGACTGTTGCACTCCACCTCAACTTCCGTTTCTCTCCATTTTAAAACCTCAACACCCTGATGCTCTTAGGCTGTCTCAAATGTGTTCTATCAGAGCCAGGCTTTCTGAAAGTCCCCCTTGAGATGACCTCATCCAGTTCTCACTGTGTTGACCATGTCCCCGCCAGAGACAGCTGCATCTGGAAGGGATTTCTTTCTTCTCACTGGTGCCATTGGGGACCTTCTGTTTGTCTAGATAGCAGGCCAGTCTCAGCTCTCATTTTCTCTAATGCATTTGACTTTCCTATCTCCAGAGGTTGAGCAGTCTTTTGAGGACAGGGATACTGTCCTTCTCACCCGCAGAGGCTCCCTTTAAATATTTATAAAATGAATGCACATATGCTTCTTGTAGAAACCCTGCCAAATGCTTCAGAGGATAATGCTTCTGAGGTGGCGTCACAGGAGCATTATCCTGCAAAGTGTTGGAGTCTGTTTCAGCACCTCCAGATGATGCTCTTGGCTTCTCATGTTTGAGGTCTGTGGTTCCTCCTTGTAGACCTGTCTGTACTCCCTTGAGCATGGCTTCTTCAGCCCTTCTTCCTTCTACATTCTCTATCTAGCCCTCTGCAAAACAAAAGAACTTAGCGGGGCATAGTGGTATATGCCAGAGGTTCCAGCTGCTCAGGAGGCTGAGGCAGGAGGATTGCTTGAGCCTGGGAGGTTGAGGCTGCAGTGAGCCATGATTGTTTACTAGCGCTTCTTCCTGCCTCCTAAATACATGTGTTCCACAAAGTGCGGTTCGAACCCTTCTTCACTGCAGTTCCTGGAACTGCCACCCTCTTTCTCAGGCCTCCTTCTTCTTCCTCTTCTTCTTCTTCCTATTCCTCCTCCTCCCCCTCCCCCTTCCCCCTCCTCCTCTTTCTCCTCCTTCTTCTCCTTTCTTCTTCTCTTTTCTTCTTTTTTTCTTGAGGTGGAGTCTGTCACCCAGGCTGGAGTGCAGTGAGGCAATCTCGGCTCACTGCAATCTCTGCCTCCCAGGTTCTAGCAATTCTCCAGCCTCAACCATGCCCAGGTAGTAGTTTCTGTGTTTTAGAAGAGTTGGGGTTTCTCCACCTTAAGACATCATCTCTTCTCACACAGTCCTGATGCCTCTGCCATGCCTTGTCACTTCTAGACCATTGTGGTTCAGCTGCGTACCCCAGAATGCCCTCTGGCTACCTCAGCTTGTCCCCAGAGAAACTCATCGACTTGTTCTTCCTCTTCTCTTCTTTTTCTCTTTTTAAATCAGTGGCATCTGGCTGGGTGCCGTGGCTCACGCCTGTAATCCCAGCACTTTGGGAGGCCAATGTAGGCGGATTACTTGAGGCGAGGAATTTGAGACCAGTCAGGCCAATGTGGTGAAACCCCGTCTGCATTAAAAATACACAAATTGGCCACGCATGGTGACACATGCCTGTAACCCCAGCAACTCAGGAGGCTGAGGCAGGAGAATCACTTGAACCCCTGGAGGCAGAGGTTGCAGTGAGCCAAGATCTCGACACTGCACTCCAGCCTGGCCAACAAGAGGGAAACTCTGTCTCAGAAAATAAAAATAAATGAAAATAAAATTGATATTGGCTAGTTAGAAAGACGAGTGGTTGTTCATAGGGAGTTATGCAATTGATCAATACTAATAATGATGGTAAACCAGTTATTATTAGATTTACCATTTATTGAGTGGATATTTAGGGCTTTATATATATGGCTTCTCCCTTAGTCTGAGCAGCCATGAGACTAGTACCAAGGGATGAGGCATTCTCCTTTTAACCCTTTAATACCTCTCAAAGCTCTTTAGATGTGAGAAGGCCAGTGTTAATGACCCACACTTTCTTTTTCCAACCTTGCCAATCCCCTGCCCATATACCTCCCCCAAAATCTTGCAACTGCTTAACAAATGAGAAATTCATTTGATACCTGGACGTGGTGGCTGGTGTAGCCAGGAGCTGACGTCCTGTTCCTGGGAAAAGCCACAAGTAGGTCGCAGGTCACGTGGCAGAACAGTGCCTGCCGAACTCCTGGCATTGTGCCTGGCGCTCAGCATTGAGAATGTTCTCCCTGAACTTATGGAGATTCCTGCAGTCATAGGCCAACCCTGGTGAGCAGGTGGGATTCCCCTTGTAGCATTCCATGATCTGTGGCCTTCAGTGGCATGTCCCTGAGTTCCCCAGCACCGACTGCAGGTATTTAAGAATGCCTTCCCTGCTAGCTCCTCCTTTTTCCTCCCTACAGCTGGTTATTTTTATGCACACAAAGTACTGCTCTTTTTTAAAAATTTTTAAAGATGCCTTTATTTTTATTTATACTTAAAATTAGAGACCAGATCTTGCTCTGCTGCTCAGGCTGGAATGCAGTGGTATAATGATAGCCTCCAACTCCTGGGCTCAAGTGATCCTCTTTCCTCAGCCTCCCAACTAGCTGGAAGTACAGGTGCACAACACCACACCTGGCTGGATAGCAATCGTTATAGAGTTAAATTCAGCTGGGTTCCGTTTCAACTCTCCAATTACCCCATACATGACCTTGGAACAGCTTAGCCTCCCTGAGATTATGTCTTCATTTGCAAAATGGAATTAATCTAGTTAATTAATGGAATTAATCTAGCAACCTCCTAGGATTTCTGCAAGGATTAAATTAGCTCAGAAATGAAGCACTTTCCCACCTGCTGGTTGCAGAAGGGAGAGTATCCAATCCCTGGTAGCATTAGTTCTGCCCCCAGGATAGCATTTCTTAAACGGAGCAAAAACTTCTTTTGCATCCCAAAACACGTTACTGTAAGAATGAGTCTGTGCGCAGATGGAAAAGCCGATACAGAAATAGATAAACCGGGTGGACCCTGGGGTGACAGGAGGACAGGGACAAGGGCAAGGATTCTGGCCAAGGTGGAGGAAGGGCCCTGAAGAAAAGGAATCCCGAAGGCCGTGTGCCGGCTCACAGCAGCTAGGATGTAAAAGCCAGGCATGGTTCCCATCCGGCAGTACGGATTGCAAGCTGTCAGAAGATAGCTGTCCTGGGTGAATGCATCTGAGATGTCTTCTGACTCCCAGACTGATGAGATTTTCTTTTTTGCCAGAAAGAGTAACATGCAATTTTGTTTTGAGATCTTGGACCTCCCAGAAGGTCTGTGGGCATTGCAGTGGGTTAGATGCAAATTCGAAATGACATGTTTACGGACCTTGTATTTTGTCATTTGCAGAGGAGCTGAAGGTTCCCCTGGAGGAGTATGTCCACAAACGCTACCCCGGGCTGGTGAAGGTGGTGAGAAATCGGAAGAGGGAAGGCCTGATCCGTGCTCGCATTGAGGGCTGGAAGGTGGCCACCGGGCAGGTCACTGGCTTCTTTGATGCCCATGTGGAATTCACTGCTGGCTGGTAGGTCATGAGCTGAAACTCAGGGGTGCTCAAGACCTGTGCTGTGGTTGAGAGGGGCTGGAATGTGGGATATGAGGTATTGCACCTGTCACCTGTAGGGGCACTAGAAGAATGGAGAAAGGCTCGTTGAAGAAGAAAGTGATACCATTGTCTGGGATAAAACTGGGGAGCAGGGAGAAATTTGTCTGCTATCTGTTCAGTTCATCATCATTGGCATCTTGTCATCATCATCAAAATCCCCAGTGAAAATGATGTATCAGGCTGGGCACGGTGGCTCGTGCCTGTAATCCCTGCACTTTGGGAGGCCAAGGTGGGTGGATCATTTGAGTTCAGTTCAAGACCAGCCTGGGGAACATGGTGAGTTCAGTTCAAGACCAGCCTGGGGAACATCTCTACTAAAAATACAAAACTTAACCGATCATAATGGTGCATGCCTGTAGTCCCAGCTACTCAGGAGGCTGAGGCAGGAGAATTGCTTGGACCTGGGAGGCGGAGATTGCAGTGAGCTGAGATGGCACCATTGCACTCTATCCTGGGTGACAGAGATTCCACCTAAAAAAAAAAAAAAAAAAGAATAAGAATTAAAAAAAAGAAGAGAAGAGAAAAAGAAAATAATGTCTCAATTAGACAGAATTCAACAGAATTCCTGCAAACAGCACAAGGCAGTCATATTTTTATTGTTCTCTTTTTCTTCTCTGCTGTTCTCTTTGCAGGGGAGAATGGTTGACTGTCATTGTGAGAAAAGCGATATAGTTATCATTCTAACTACTCAAAGAAAGCTTCCCAGAATGTATGGGATTATCTTTAACATCATTCAGAGGAAGGTGAAGTGTATTTTCTGCAGAGGTGGCTCTGATATTTTTCCAGGTGAAGAAAACAGTATGTGAGAAGTTGGTTGAGTGTATAAGGAGTAGAAGATTTTGGATGCCCTAAGAGTGAGGCCACAAATGTGCCAGAATCATGTTAACATTGGAATAGGACATTCCAATTTTAAAGCATGGTCCGATGATTGTTGCTAACTAACCAACGATCCATCAAGTTAGAGGTTAAATAACCAGTACCCTGGTTTGCTTAATTAGTAAGAAGCAGAGTTTTCTAGTCCACATATGTGTTTATTTACACTCATTGAGGCTATCTTGAGTAAGTGTTGTTCACTGTACTAGATTCGCAGAACCAATATCCCATCAAAAATTAACATTAAAATGTCTGTTCTTCATTTGCAACAACCTCTAGAATCCTTTTAATGGCAGGATAAAAAGACAGTGTTTATTGTTGGAAACAGATGCTCGGAGCCACAAAGAAAAATCGACACTGAGACAAAGGATCTCTCAGCAAGGCCATCTTTACTTCTTGCAGAAAGGGTACTCTCACAAGCAGTCTTGCCACTTGAGTACAATCAATAAAGAAAAGCAGACATTATTTGACTTTTATGCATTTGGGGCTGTCCTTACTGCTGTGTTTGATCTCCACTGGTTGGAGCTAGACTTTACAATCTAAAACTGAACTTGATTGGCTAATAACTTAAAACTTTCTTGAATAGTTAAAGGCAATGGAGAACAAAAGGAAAAGAGGAAGTCTAAATAAGGAAGGGACAGGAAATTGCTTGCAAAAAGACTTAGAAAAGTAATAGCATAAATATCTTGGTTAAAGTATAAGGACATAGAATGTACTACGTGCCTGTGAGCTTGTCTAACAGCTACATAGGATAGGGCTTAATAAAGAGTTATAAGCAACAAGGAAGAAGGCTTTGAAGAAAGTCTTTTTTTTTTTTTTGACGGAGTTTCGCTCTTGTTACCCAGGCTGGAGTGCAATGGCGCGATCTCGGCTCACTGCAACCTCCGCCTCCTGGGTTCAGGCAATTCTCCTGCCTCAGCCTCCTGAGTAGCTGGGATTACAGGCACGCGCCACCATGCCCAGCTAATTTTTTGTATTTCTAGTAGAGACGGGGTTTCACCATGTTGACCAGGACGGTCTCGATCTCTTGACCTCGTGATCCACCTGCCTCAGCCTCCCAAAGTGCTGGGATTACAGGCATGAGCCACCGCGCCCGGCCTGAAGAAAGTCTTTAAAACAAACTATTATTTCTAACGCTTATGATTTATTCTTTAACAAGAAAGGAAACGTTGAAGAAAAACTTTTCTACTTCCTATATTTATGCACATGACCACATAAGAAATCTGGGGCCACTGAAAACACTGACTCCTTCAAGTGCACGCTAGGGTCTGTTGCCATCTTAGACACCAATTTTCCCTCCTAGTCTTTTGCTGTCATCAAACTCTGGTGACTCCCAGCTGCGTGTCTTCTGTCCCCATCTCTCTCTGCACTCCAGGGCTGTTTATCACTAGTAATAATCATTCCCAAAGTGTGGTGCCCAGACCTACAGCATCTGCAGAATCTGGGAACTTGCAGAAATACAAATTCCTGGGCTCCACGCAGTCCCCTGAAATCAGAAGCCGTGCAGGTGGGATCCAGCAGTCTGTTGTAACCAGCCCTCCAGGGGACTCATGCATGCTCTAGTTTGAGAAGCACTGAGGGATCATAGAAGCCTTCTGAACAGAGACATGTGAATGTTCTATCGCAGCCTCAGGCTTGGCACACCTTGTCTTTTCCTTGGCACCGTTGCCTCCTCTTTTCTTTCCTTTCAAATTGGTTGGTCCCCACACATGCCCCTTTCCCTCGATTTTCCCCTTGCCATCATGTTGCTCATCCAGTCAGCCTCTAGCTCCAGCCAGTTTTGCCTGCTGTTTCTCCTGTCTCCCTCTTTCTTTCTGTCTTGACCACCGCTCTCTCAGCTTGGCTCTTCCTTAACATTGACCTAAACAAAAGTGGTCACTGCTGGAACTCATTCTTTTGACAGATACTTGCTAGATACCTACCATATCCCTGGTGCTGTTCTAGGTTTGCTGAGCATGTCGGGATTAGAAGATTTTAGATGCACAAAGAGTGAGGCCACAAAATGCCAAAATTGTGTTAAAACTGGAATAGGACGTTCCAGTTTTAAAGCATGGTCAGATGATTTTTGCTAACTAACCAATGATCCATCAAGTTAGAGGTTAAATAACCTGTACCCTGGGTTGCTTAATTAGTAAGAAGTCTGGTGCTGAATGATTTCTCAGGACTTTTGGTGGTAAGGCTGGAAGAGTCCTGCACAAACTGGGATGGTTGAACACTTGGGAATAAAAGCTCAGAGTTGCAAAGAAAATGAGCACTTACGCAAAGGATTTCTCAGCAAGGCAAATTTACTTCTGCAGAAGGGTGCCACGAGAGCACCCTGAACAAAGAAGGGAAGAGGTTTTTATTCCTAATGCAGTTCGTTTTTGCTGGTGTGTCCTGCCTCCCTTGGCTGGAGTTGGACCGCACAATCTAAGCTGAACCAGATTGGCTAACTTGAAGAGTGCATGGGGTGTGCATAATGAGGAGGGAGGGGCAGTTTCAGTGGAAGAGCCATTGCGGCAGGAGAGGTAATTTACAGAGTGAGTAGTGGATGTGGGCTTTGTGGATTAGGATGGGCTGGAAAGTTGTTTACTGAAACTAGGGCGGGGAGGCACAAAGGATAAGGAAGTCTGGCCTTGAAAGCGGGGAACAAAGAAGGAAACTAAATAAACTAAGCTCTTTGAAGAGGAACTTCTTCTTGTGTCTAAAAGACACTCAGCTGGGATTCAAAAGCTGGCAGGTTTGGTATCTGCCCTCAGGTCTAATTCCTGTCTATGTAATCTATTCCACTTACCATCTAGTTCTCATTGATTTCTGTGACTTTAGTCTTTGCCATTCAGACTCATTTTCCACACTTTTACCAGGTGGCATAGAATCCTCTTTCAATTAAAACTCCTTTGCGGCTCTTCACTACAAGATAGACAGTGTGTCTCAACTTTTACCAGGTTCTACTGCAATAATAATCTCCAGTCTCAATGACTTATGACAATACATGTTTCTCTCTTGTGTGCATGGCACGTCAGCTGTGGTTGTCTGGCTGTGGCTGTGCTTGATTTATCCTCTGTGTTCTGAGAGCCAAGGAATCCTCCCATCTAGGACATTCCATGTTGGTGGCTCAGGGAAAAGAACAGTGGCTGAACTTGGAAATGGCTATTAAAGTTTCCGCTCTGATGTGACACTGTCACATTGGCTTCCATCCCCTTGGCAAACTAATTCACAGGTCCAGGTTAAGTGTTAATTGAAGGTTGGAGTAAGGAATGTGCTTCCCTAGGGAAGCACTGCAGGCCATTTGGTAATAGTCAGGACATCCCCAGGGAAGAGGAAGCAAATTATTGGGAACCGTCATACATTGTCCCATAGACAGTGGGATCAAACTTCTCAGCCGCAGAAATATTACTGGAACCAAGGTCTTCTGCCTTCATACTCAGTGACTCTTTCACAGCTGATGGATAGGCTGAACTGAACGCTTCTATATGCATGGCCTGGACTTGGATGTGGGTTCATCACGGTTCATCAGGGAGGTCAAGGAACTTCAGAATGAAGACATGAACCGGACCAGCTACGTTAGGAAACTGGTTCTACCACCAGTCGGCTGTGTAGCCTGAGGCAAGGTACTTAACCTCCCTGGGCCTCAGTTTCCTCATTTGGATAATGGTGATGATCATATGTACCTCATTGGATTACCTTGGGGGTTGCATCAGTCAGCACGTGAAATAGTTAGAATGGTACCTTACACCAGCAAGTGCTCAATAAAGGTCAGCTATGATTAGTTCGTAAGGAAAAATCGTGTGTGTTCAGAGATTATTAGCAAAGGTAGCTGTGCAGTCATTGTGACTTAAATAAGGTGGAGAAATGGCCTAAGAGTTGAGAGGAAGAAGTCCCGTGGCAGACGTGGTACTTGGTCTTGGGAGCAGGTAGTGAGAGAGGTGGTAATTGGTCTAAGCCTCCTTAGGTGGCCAGGCTTTCTGTCAGTAGCAAAGGGCATTCCCAGAGGAGAATTTCATGAGTGTAGACTTGGCCGGGGCCATGCTCCTAAGCCTGCCCGGAAACCTAGGAAAATCAGTGCCATTTGGCTTCAGCTTATATGGTGTGTGCAAAAGTATTGGAAGCAGGTAATGGCCCAGGGTATATTTTATTGCTCATTTTAAATAGAAAGATGAGATGAGCCAACAGGTAATTCAATAGCTGCAAATGAAAAGAGATGGGTTGTCGACTGTGTGTTCTCATTATTCTTCCTGATAATGCAGAGGAATGGGATTTTCGCTTGACTCTGTTCCAAAGCCTGCTTTCTGTTGTAAGCTGGGAGATTAATGCCCTGGCTTAGGAGACAGCCATCTTCTCCTTCTCAAATGTGGGAAATGATCACTTCCTGCGTCTGCCTCCGAGGCACACGATGGTGGAGGTGTCTGATCATCTGCTGTCCCCTAAGCCAGCCGGGCTACACCTTGAACCTGGAGCCAGATCCCCGATGATCGCCCGCTGCAGCCTCGAGCTGGGGAAGTGAGCAGGGCAGGATTCTGCCTGCCTTTGCATTTAATTAGTTTCCAGCCTTCTATTACTAACCAATTCCATTAGATCCCTTTTAAGAAATCAATTAAATAATCAATTAAAACAACTGAAATAGTCACACACACACACACACACACACACACACACACACACACACAGAGAGAGAGAGAGAGAGAGAGAGAGAGAGAGAGAGAGAGAGAGAGAGAAAGCGAAAGCTAGTGAAATGCATATTAAAACCAGGCCATCCCAGGCAGAAGTGACCTATTTTGGGAAAGGGAATTCAGTGGCAGCAGAAAAAACAAGCAGTGTTAGTCAGTGCCCTGGGGGGAAACTGATGAGACTGTATAAAACCGTCAGGAGTGTAAATTAGTTCAACCATTGTGGAAGACAGTATGGCGATTCCTCAAGGATCTGGAAATAGAAATAGCGTTTGACCCAGCAATCCCATTGCTGGGTATATATCCAAAGGATTATAAATCATTCTATTATAAAGACACATGTACACGTATGTTTATTTCAGCACTGTTCACAAGAGCAAAGACTTGGGACCGACCCAAATGCCCATCAATGATAGACTGGATAAAGAAAATGTGGTGCATATACACCATGGAATACTATGCAACCATAAAAAAGTCCTTTGCAGGGACATGGATGAAGCTGGAAACCATCATTCTCAGCCAACTGACACAAAAACAGAAAACCAAACTCTGCATGTTCTCACTCATAAGTGGGTGTTGAACAATTAGAACACATGGACACAAGGAAGGGAACATCACACACCAGGGCCTGTCGGGGGCTGGGGGGCAAGGAGAGGGATAGCAGGGAGTGGAGGAATTGGGGAGGAGGGAGAGCATTAGGAGAAGTACCTAGTGTAGATGACGGGGTGATGGGTGCAGCAAGCCACCATGGCACGTGTGTACCTGTGTAACAAACCTGCAAGATCTGCACATGTCCTCGAGAACTTAAAGTATAATAAATAAATTTTTTTAAAAACCTGTCATGCAATGTAAATCATAGAGTCCACTGTTGATATGAAAATGAGACTTGGCACTTGCTTCGGAAGGAGACCCCACATTCTGAACCCTCGTTCCAGGCTTTTCAGGCCGGAACAGGCATCACTGTGGTCATTCCCATAAGGGTGACGGTGTGAGTGGGTTTCACACACTTCCCGGCCCAGGTGTGAGGCTGCAGGATCTAACGTGGGCAGGTCCCTGGGAGCCTCAGTTTCCATCTGGGTTCCACGCTTCCCAAAGCCCAGCCTTTTAGCCAAATGCTGTTCATTCCCTGTGGTCTTGGGAGGTGTGCCTCAGGAGAGAGAAGAGAGGTTTCACGTCTGATTCTCTGTGTTTCAGGGCTGAGCCGGTTCTGTCCCGCATCCAGGAAAACCGGAAGCGTGTGATCCTCCCCTCCATTGACAACATCAAACAGGACAACTTTGAGGTGCAGCGGTACGAGAACTCGGCCCATGGGTACAGCTGGGAGCTGTGGTGCATGTACATCAGCCCCCCAAAAGACTGGTGGGACGCCGGAGACCCTTCTCTCCCCATCAGGTCTGTGGCTGGTGAGCTCTGGCGGCCAGTGAGCCCCCAAATTCAAGGGTAAAAAGGAGCCACTGAGAGAGGCCAGGGAAGCCTGCCTTGGGCTGGAGCTGCTGTGTGCACACAGCTCTCTAGAAGCCACGCACGGGTGTCTCGGGATCACAGCTTTCCTGCAGAGGGAGGATGTTGCATTTTGCACCTTTATCTAAAGTTTTCAAGTGCAGCTTTCCAACTGCGATACCGAAAGTTTCAAAGTGATAGTCATGTTCACACTTCTTTATTCTTCCTTGTGTAAGAGGAGCTGTGTTCAGGAGCTTTTAAGGATGAAGTTTGAAAGTTATTTTTTCTGGGGCTATTTTATACTTGAAGCCTCGTACTGTTGCCGTGTTTGCAGTGTTTTCCATGATGCAGGATCATAGAAAAGGACAAGCCTGTGTGGCGTTCTGGGAAACTGGAGGGCCGTGGGGGAGCTCTTTATGGCTCTTGCCCTGGGTCCCACCCAGCTGCCCCTCTGGATATGGAGATCAATATCTTGAGGCATACCAGTTGCAAAACTCAAATAGAAAGAAGGTTGAGGCTGGGCATGGTGACTTATGCCTGTCATCCCAGTGCTTTGGGAAGCCACGGTGGGTGGATCACCTGAGGTCAGGAGTTCGAGACCAGCCTGGCCAACATGGTGAAACCCCATCTCTACTAAAAATACAAAAATTAGCCAGGCATGGTGGTGGGTGCCTGTAATCCCAGCTACTTGGGTGGCTGAGACAGGAGAATCACTTGAACCCGGAAGTTGGAGGTGGCAGTGAGCTGAGATCATGCCATTATACTCCAGTCTGGGCAACAAGAGCAAAACTCCATCTCAAAAAAAAAAAAAAAAAAAAAAAAAGGCGGTTGAATGCATTAGGTTGATTTCGATGGTATATTAGTTTTCTCATGCTGCTGTAACAAATTTCTGTGAAAATGATGACTTGAAATAGCACAGATAGATGGTGCTACAGTTCTTGAGGTTGGAAGTTTGCAATGAGCCTATGGAGCTAAAATCAAGGAAGACTGGGTCCCTCTGCGGGCTCTCAGAGTGATCCATCTCCTTGCCTTTTCCAGCTTCCAGAAGCTGCTCCTTCCCTTGGCTCTTGGCTGTGTGGCGTCTCCCTTTCTTTCCAGCTTCCTTCATCACGTGACCTTTTCCTCCTTTGCTGCCTTCCCTCCCTCCCACTTGTAAAGACTCTTGTGACTGATTACATTTTGGATCCATACAACGAATCTAGGATCATCTCCCCATCTTGAGATACTGAACTTAGTCACATCTGCGAAGTCCTTTTCCTAATCTCTGGAACCTGTGAATGGTCCCTCATTTGGGAAAAAGTGAAATGAGAGTGTTCCCTTATCCCCCTTGCAGGGCATGTGACAGGGGTGTGGCTTGCTTCTTCAGCGCCCCACTGCTGAAAGCCCTAGGGGCATCATGCAGATGGGCAGGTTGCAGGGAACATTTTTGGGCTCTGACCCCATGGCAGTGTCTAGGGTTGAGTGTTTACAGCTCCTGAAGTCCCAGTGGGCGTGTATTACAGTATGCTCTTTCAGCTTTGCCATCTGCAGGCAGGTTGTGTTCATCAAGTTAGTTAGATCCTCTGCCTTATCACAAGGACAGGGGGCTTTCTGTATCCTGGGTTCTTGCCTTAGTGTATCAGAAAAGCCAAATCACATGTGGCCTTGGAGAATGAGCATGAGGTCTTCTTGAGTGGTGGAGGTAGCGCTCAATGAAAGGGATGGGGAGCTGGAGGGGGGATGGAGTGGGAAGGTGGTCTTTCCCTGGAGTTGGGTTGCCCAACTGCCAGACTCTCCTCTAACCACCCCAGCCTAACTCCCCTCAGCATCCATGTCATTCTGCTCCCGGTGTCTGCTGGTGTCTGTCTGTGTGTTCTTCTGCTCCTCTCAGTGTCCAGCTGCCTGTGTCTGTGCTCACTATGGTCCTAGGTTTTTATGGGCACAGGATGGGGGGTCGTGGTAGGCCAAAAGGCAACTTTTTGAGTGTAAAAACAGAAATGCCTGTCCTCTTTTAGGTCTGTGGGCACAGGCCTGAGGGTGGAGTCATCACCAGAGTCCCTGCCCTTCTCTACCCAGAACTTTCCTGCCCCCATCCCATACCAAAGGCCTTTTCAGACATGATGTAGAAATCCTAATCTCTGGAACCTGTGAATGGTACCTTATTTGGGGAAAAGGGCTTCGTTGAAAATCCTCTGATCCTGGATTTATAGTTCAATACATTATGTAAGTTCTACCTGAGGGCCAAACTGACTCTTAAAATCATGGTTCTGTCTTACATTGGGAGAGGCAGGAGAGGCCTGTGTACCTGGGCTCAGTTTTATGGGTATGCTTGTTGGTGTTAAGATAGTAAGATAGAATAATGGAGTAGGGATGAAGAATTTTTACAGACAGTCATAAAGTTCTTTCTCAGTTTAAAAATTTGTGATTAACAAGAGTAAGGGTTTAGCTAGGCCCAGTGGCCCACATCTGTAATCCCAGAACCTTGGGAGGCCAAGGCAGGAGGATTGCCTGAGTTCAGGAGTTTAAGACCAGCCTGGGCAACAGAGCGAGACTGTGTCTCCACTGAAATAATAAAAAAAAATAGCCAGGGTGGTGATTTGCTCTTCCAGCTACTCAGGAGGCAGAGGAGGGAGTGTTGCTGGAGCCCAGGAGGTTGAGGCTGCAGTGAGCTATGGTCGTGCCACTGCATTCCAACCTGAGCAACAGAGGGAGACCCTATCACAGATTTTAAAAAAAAAAAGTGATTTTTGAGAAGTTCTTTTATTTTTCTGCTCACACCAAAAGCTGCAAAATTACATTTGAGTAGAGCCAGCCATGGGCAACTTTTTACAGCAGAGAAGGTAAGCTATCCTATGGTTCACTTCCCACCCCACTGTTAATCATGGAGTGTTTCAGGATTACATCCTTGGCTATCTGCATATAATATTAATACTGTAAGGTTAACTAAAGCAAAGCCTTCAGAGATGTTTGAGCCTTAATGGTGAGTGCTTGAAGATATGTTGACCTTCAGATCTCAAAGGGATGAAACTCAAATGATGGACTGACAGGCGGTGAGTTTCACATGTTGGCTGAAAGGTGCTTTCTCTCAAGTGTCCACACTGACACTCAGGAGGCCAGCCTCCAGCCAGGACAGATGACAGAAAGGAGGTGTGATTGTAAGTGTTAACAACAAAGAAAAGGAAGTGCTTTAGTGGAGTACTAGCGGATGCCCACCAGACATCCGTAATGACTGTCTCTGACTGTATAAGGCTCCAAGCAAAGAGTTAGCTTGTATTTCATGAGTTACGGTAACATTAACAGATGATTAATATGCACTTTAAAAAGACTCAAGAAAATAGAGTCATGATCATGAGTCATTAATATTACATCCATCTTTGACATACAAAATAGAATCAAATGCCAATTATCTCTTTTTAATGTGTCTTAACTTACAGAATGCTTAATTTGTTAATTGTTGATGGGGATATTTAATTGCACGATGAATTTTTATGGTCCTTCTGGAATTATTAAGCGGATACAATATGCTTTCTTAGACATGACGACACGGCGGTTTCTCTTTCTTGCTGTGATGCCAAAATTTTGATAGTTACAGTTTTACCCCAGTGAAAGATAAGTCGAGGAAAATGTTTCATCATCCAAATGGTATTACATTAGATGCATCTTCAGATACTAAGACTTCCTGGAAAGCAACATAATATAGGAGATTTGCATTAAGGGAATGGATATTCCTTCTGTTTCAGTTCCTTTCCTGTTTCTTTCTATATACAGATACCTCTTTTGTCCTGCCTGCTAAATAGCTATTTTCTCAGCTTTTCTCTTTGTCCTCCTTTCTTCCTTGTTTACACCAGCATTTCCAGTATAGCAAGTGTGTGAGTGCCATTAAAGAGGGCAAAGGCCAGATTGTAAGGGTAAGAGGTGGGGGAACGGAAGAACACAGGTCCTGCCCAAGGGGGCAGCTGCTCCCAGCTCTGCTTTATGGTGATGGGGGTACATAGGACCAGTATGGTCCTGTCTTCAAAATTTTAAGAGAAGCCATAAATCTAGAGCCTTTGTGAAATCTCCTACCTTCTAAATGTTGATGATAAACCTCTCTTCTTCAAAATGGCAAGGACCCAGCCATATGTGTCTAGACTGTCTTTGACCACCGAGCCTCCAGAACTTGATTTTGCCTTTACACCCAGCCCCTTGGAGACCTCTGTGGTTCCTAGAATAGCTTTTATTTATGCATCTTGCACTGACAGTGAGTATCTGTGGTATGTATTGTGGGTGTCATGGAGGGTGTATTAGTTCTTGAACTGCTATAAGGAAATAGCTGAGTCTCGGTAATTTATAAAGAAAGGAGGTTTAATTGGCCCAGGATTTAGCCAGCTATACAGGAGGCATGGAGGCTTCTGCTTCTGGGGAGGCCTCAGGAATCTTATAGTCATGGCAGAAGGGGAAGCAGGTACGTCTTACATGGCCAGAGTAGGAGGAAGAAGACACAGGGGAAGGTCCCACACACTTTTAAATAACCAGATCTCATGAGAACTCTATCATGAACACAGCACCAAAGGGATGGTGCTAACCCATTCATGAAGGATCCACCCCTGTGATCCTGTCACCTCCCACCTGGCCCCGCCTCCTACACTGGGGATTACAATTCAACATGAGATTTGGGCAGGGGCGCAGAGCCAAACCATGTCAGTGGGGCTAGGGGATTTTGGGGAAGTGTCACTCAAAGCCATAGGAGCAACATGACCCAAACTTCCTGGAACTCCAGTTAAGCCTGTAGAGATTCCCCTCCAGCTGTGCCATTGTGTGTCCATAGCCCTTTGTTCGTCTGTGTGAGAGTCTGTGCAGCACTGAGCCAGCTCTTGCGTCTGTGTTGAGAAGCTTCTTAAATCTACTGTCTTAAGCTCTGATTATTCTCCAAGGGTGACTTCCTTTCTGTTAGGCAGTTCTTGCATTGCTACAGAGAAATACCTGAGGCTGAG